AGCATGGAGGAATGAGTCTCTAAACCCGGGACTGCCATCAGCAACTAGAAGCCAGGAGAAAGGCATGGAACAGATTCTGCAGAGGGAACCAGCCCTGCCAACACCTTGATTTTGGCCTTCTGACCTCTAGAACTGTGGGGGAATAAATTGCTGTTTTCTTACGCCACTAAGTTTGTGGTTGTTTGTTATGGAAGCCACAGGAAACTAACACAGCAGTCACATCTTGACTGCCTGGGAATTCCTTCCTATTCATCCTATAGAGGAAATGAGTCACCTCTGGGTAAAAACCTCCCTGCCACCTTCAGACACATTCCATGCAACATTAAATGAGAGGGCAGGAAAGAGAAAGGCAACATAGAGGAAGCACCTCTGGATTATCTCATCTAATTTGATCCTGGCAACAGACTTCTGAATGGTTAAATACCATCCTTATTTTCTATTTGTGGAAACAGAGACTCTTGATCGGTCAGGTGATTTGCACATGTCACATATTGGTGGCAGGATCAGGATTTGAATCCAGATCTACCAAATCAAATCTAATCCTTTATCTTCCCCTGGAAGCCCTGAGCCCTAGAAGAACCTTGGTAGCAATCTGCCAGGCCAAAGGTTTACCATCAGGCCCAGAACAGAGGTACCAGATACTTTCAGGGCCCAGTCTGAGCCAGTTGAGAGTAAAACCTGTTGGTATTTGTGGTTTCAATGACAAAGATACAGGGGAATATTTTCCAGCCACAATGGCTGTTGAAATAAAAATGTTCCATGTTCCACAGAAACAGATCCCTGGGACATCTGTCACTAGTAGAGGTCTGACAGGGAACATACAATTTTGTGTTAGAATGAGGAATTCTATAAATTCCTGCCTTGCTCTCCTCCCCTCCTGGACCCCTGTTTTAATCCTGGTCCTGATTTAGAGAAGGCGCTGTAGCCAGGAGGTTTCTGTTCTCACTAAGACCCAGGCTCTTCTCCAAGGGAAAATGTCCAGCCCGCCCAGGTTCCAGTAGGGCCTGATTTGTTTAACAAGGCTATAACAAGGCCCAGAGATCATTGCCCAGGCTGAAGGAATGGAGGCACGGTTGTCTCCACATGCATGCTGGGACCTGCCCCCTCTGGATTCCAGATTGGATGCAGACTTCAAGTTTCCAGATCTAGAGGCCCCTCAGAATACAACTGGGATTGCTGGGCGCTTTGATTTCGTGGTGCTGCAGATCTAACCCAGGGCCTCCCGCATGCTAAGTGAGTACTTTACTTTGGAGCTACACTGCCATGTCTCTACTTCCTCCACTGAAATTTTTATGAAGTATAACGGGGAATTTGAGCCTCCTTAGCTGTCAGGCTAGGGTAGCTGCATGGGGTCTCCAAGGCTGCAATTCCAAGCATTGACCTAGAGGTCCTGACACCTGATTTCTGGTCCCTGAAACTTCCCAGTAGAAGAAACCTCCCACGGTGGTTCTACATCATGATTCCTCCTCTCAACCTAAATACCTAGGAAGTCCTCTAACTGCTCCGGGCTTGAGGTAATGAGTGCAAATAGAGCAAAGTACTGTGAGGCTGAAGTAGGGGTTCTAGTGGTTTCTATCACATAAAAACTATAGAAACTTGAGTACCTGGCCCCAAATCTGTATATTTGGTCTGGTCTAGAAAGTGGAGAAATTGCTATTTCACAGGCTGAGGGCTAGACCATCTCTGATTCTGAGTTTCCCAACAGGTGGTGGGTTGTCTTCACTGTGGGATCTGAAAGAAGTCATGGGTGCAGGACAGAGCACCCCCCTGTCTGCCTCTGGCTGAGGTTTTTTGGCACAGTCTGGAATGGTGACAACTACATTGGGAGAAACATCCCCAGAGCCTCTTCCCATGAGGCCAGACTTCTTCAGACAGTAGCAAGGTTTGTCTTCCAGGGCCTCATGTGGCATTTGTGGGATTTATGCTGTCCATCAGTAGCCCTGTCGCCCTGCCCAAAGTACTTGGATTTGCTTAGATTTGCCTGGCTCCTTTGAAGGCAGAGAGACCCTGATGTAGGATGCTGTTTCCCTCTTGATTTTCTTTCTTTTTGTGGTTCTGGGGATTGAACCCAGGGCCGGAACCCAGGCAGCCTGGCCCACAGAGCCGAGGGCATAGAGGGGCTGTGTTTCCGCAGGTGCGTTTGCTATGGGTATCTCTGTGCTATGCTGAGCATGGGGTGGGGGCGTTGATGTGGAGAGAGGATTGTAAAGGGTGGGAGCCATGTGGTGTGTGCACCCGTGTGCATTGCTCAGGGTGCCTGTGTGGCCATGAGTGTGCATGCCCGCACCTGGCCCCTCCTTCCCAGGTGGTAAGACTGGGGGCACCTCTCCCTCCAAAGAGGAGTCTGCAGATGAGCCAAACCACAGCTTGAGCCAAACCACAGCTTGGGCCGTGGGGGTTTGATCTTCCCTCTGCTGCCAGAGATGAGAGAGGTCTAAGTGGCAGAGATTTACGAGGCCTGAGGGAGAAATACCCTTCCAGTGAGAAGCTCACATGAAAGCTCCCGAGTAATAGCCGAGGCTGCCGAGCGTGCCAATTATGCAACAATTAAAAGGTTTGACTATCATTTCTTTCTCCTTTCATTCTCCCAGCCACTCCTCCCCCTCCACATCTGGCTCCCCAGAAAATGCTCTGGGGAACAGAGGATAAAGAACACACTTTCCCCCTTTTTAATTGGAGATCAAAAGTTGGAAGAAGGGTTTACCCCTCATGGGTGGGGAAGAGAGGGGTGTTGCTGAGACAGAGGCCCTCAGAAGAGGGGATGGGGAAGGAGCGGGGAACAAAGGGAAGGTTCTGATACTGCTGGACTCTGTAACCACTTTACACGCATCATCTCACTGAACGCACATGTCAGCCCTGTAAAGTGGGTGTTACTGATGACATCGTGTTGTAGGTCAGGAAACTAAGACTCAGAAGGCAATGACTTCAGTAAGGTCATGTAGCTGGTAGAATGGCATTGCGCCCCGGGGCCATCCGTTGCTAATGGCTTTGCCACTTGGCAATTCAGCCTCCACACTGTGAAGTGGGAGAACTTTCCTCATCTCTGGGTCTTGGCGTACCCATCTGTAAAGTGGGCACAGCCGTGGGCTTTGTGTGTTGGAGCCAAACACTCCTGTAGATAGATGAAAGGTCCCGTGGGTGCTTAGCGGCAGGATTGCTCTGTGACTCAGCCAGCACCAGCTGAGCCAAGTGCCTTGTGCAGCAATCCAGTGGCTAATTGAGAAAGAATTAGGCAGTGTGCCCCAGAAGGAAAGAAGCAGCTGCTCACTGGCTTTTTAGAGATGCCAACCCACACCCAGTGTAGGTGCCCCCTCCTCACCTGACTTCCCAGCAGACTGAACATCCCCTGCCCCATCCCAAGGCCAATGGCATTGGATTCCTTCCTGCCCTACAGATGAACAGCAACTCCAAGAACGGCCGGAGCACTCTTGTGTCTCCTGGAGGAGTCTGGTTAATGGAGGTCAGGGCTACCCCAAGGAAATGGCCATCTCCCACATTTAGAAGCCTCTCAAACCTAGAACACAGTAGGCTCACACAGTTCCCATTTGACCAGGTGGTCGAGGATGGCGGTCAGGGCACTATCCTAGGGACTTTCCTGTGTTTTCTCATTATTGCACTCAAGATTTTCTCTGTCCATAGTTGGGGAGTTACTCTGGGCATCAGTTTTCTCCCAAGGTGGTGGAGTGGGCTAGGCTGTTCAGCTTGAACTGTCCAGCTGTCCGTGGCAGCCAGTAGGGGCGGGGGGAGCACACAGCCCCAGTCACGCATAGTGGCAGGGGAGAGGTTCTGATGTTCTTGACTCCAGGCTAGGGCATGTCGCCCCACACCCCACTCCTCTGCAGCGAGTTGGCTGAAGAGTGAGGCTACGGGGAGCTGGGCCCCGCTCTGCCACTCGTCCTGCTGCAGGCTGAGTCCAAGAGAGCAGCCACGCTCCTGGGAGCCCCACCACAGGAAAGAGGAGTGGAACTTCGCTCCCGGCCTCCACTCCCCTCCCTGCACAAACACACGTGCCCAGGCCTCTCGGGATAGACTTTGCCAAATGGTTTTCCACAACACGTTGCTTCCCAGCCACCGACCGTCTTCCAGCATTTTCTCCTCCACTGCTTTGGATTCTTGAAAATCCCTCACCTCAGGAGTGACGCTCTGGGGTGTGTGTTTGGGAGTGGGGAGTGTATGCAAAATGGGGAATTGATTATGGGGAAGGGGACATAGTGGGGGGGCAGGAACTGTGACTATCCTACTGGTGCTGTGAGCCCTTCCCACCCTCAATGGCTCACTTGGTGACCTGGGGATCCTTCTCTCCCCAGCGCCCCTCTCCCAAGCCTGCACCAGGTGGCAGTGGTAGCCGGCTCTCTCCTGGGACCTGAGGAACCCAGCTGACATGGGCAGCCACACTTACAGAGGCCAGCCAATTGTTTGCTCAATTGGGGCCCACTCAGCCCGCTCTGCGGGGGCTGGCCGCACTCCAGAGGAAGTGATGGGAGGCTTTGGGTGCATTTTGACCTTAACTGAATTCCAGGATGATGATGTGTGAATAATATGGCTTTTTAAGAGTCAACAGCTCGGGTGCTTTTTATAGTCAGACTGGAGTGCTGAACGGGCCATCCCCCCATTAATCATTTAGCTAGTTAGATCAGTTGGCAAACAGTCCCGGCATTACTCCCAAACCGTCTAGTCCCCAGGCTTAATATCCTCATACTCCCTGCAGCCTTGTTTCTGTCTAAACTGAGCTGTTTTTTGGTGGTCTCTGCTGGCAGGACCCTAGATTCCCACTCCCCAGGGCCACTCTGAACTCCCCCAGGGCACCTCCCACCCACCTGAGGGAGGGAGGAATTCATTCTGAGTGCCATCCCAGAGAAAAGGCCAGGGAAGGCCACGTGGGCGAGCAAGCCTGGGGCCACAGCCCAGCATCCCAGTCCTACTGGCCCTGCCCCGTGCCCACCACCCCCACTCCAGGAACGCCAGGCAGGACAGGGCTCGAGCAGGACTCCCCCACTCACAGTGTCTCCAGATTGTGCAGCCCCTCGAAGCTGTGGGTCCCCAGATGCTGGATGCGGTTGTTGTGCAGATGCCTGTGTGGGGAGGAAAGACACCTCAGAATGAGCGCCACCACTCCAGGGCCAGAACGGACGAGAACACACGGTGGTGAGCGTAGCAGAGCGGAGGCAGAAGCATGGACAGAATGACCCCAGTTAGACCCCCAGGTCTAATCCTTTGTCTCCAGGGACCAATGGAGGAGGCAAGACCGACTTCTGAAGCCATCATCGCCAGGGCTGCTTTGGCCACAGGTCGCATCGTTTTGACTTCTCATTGAARTAAAAAGGGAGAGGAGGGCCTAGACCTGCCAAGGCTAAACCAAACTCCTGCTAAGCACTGGGAGAGGCCTGATGTCACAGGGGCTCACGTCTGAGGCTTCGTCTATGACCCTGCTCCCTAGGACCCGGCCAGCTTGACTCAGTGGCCAGACGCACTTAGGGGAGCCAAGAGCAAACCACTGCAGACAACATATAATTAAAGGCTAAGCTTTCTGTAACAGCTGGAGGGAGCCACAGACACGCTGAGAGAACGGGGAGATCGGTGAGGCCAGAGGAACCAAGAAAGGCTTCCCGAGGTGGTGATCCAGAGCAAGGCCAGGAAGATAGGTGAGCCCCAGGAGCCGCGGGAGGGGCGGTCCAGGCACAGGTAAGGGTGTGCTCAGAGGCAAGCAGGTGGGAATGAGCCTGGTCTCTCTGCACAGGGTGGTAAAGAGATTGCCTAGAGCAGGTGGGTTGAGGAGAGGAAGGAGAGCATTTCAGGGGAGATTTCCAAGATAAATAGCTAACTGAAGATAAGTGACAGAATTTTCTTCTCCCAACTCCTAATGGGAAAAAAAATAGCAAAAGCCAGACCCTACCCCACCTTCCAAATATTAACAGTAGCAACAAAGCCAGGAAAGACAGGTAGCCTACTGTAAGGACCCTGCAAAAACTGATGACCAAAGGAACAGTCTATAGCGGATCAGCTCCTTTTACCAGAAGCAAAATCTAAGAACTCTCCCTAAAACCCACATCCAAGAGAATTGCCTATATGAGTGTCCTTGTTTTTCCTCTCTACCTTTGGCTTCCAAAAGGAACAAGAAAGGCTTTAGACTACTTACAGAATGCAGAAAATAGCTTAAAGCCAAAGGGGCTTTGAGGTTTCTGTTTTGGGGGGGGATTTTCCCAGCACTAAGGATTGAACCCAGGGGTGCTCTACCACTGAGCTACATCCTTGGTACTTCTTATTTTTTATTTTGAAACAGGGTCTCACTAAGTTGCTGAGGCTGGCTTTGAACTTGAGATCCTCCTGCCTCAGCCTCCTGAGTAGCTGGAATTACAGGCATGCACCACCCCGCCCAGCCTCAAGGTATTTTTGAGCAGAGGGAATGAATTCTGCCCACAACCCGGGCAGAGAAAGCAGAGTCCAAGGAATTTAACAAAGATCGGATGCTGCCTCAAAATATATCCCCACCCTTCACCATCCCACCAAAATAGGGGACAGAACCTAATTCATCCTTGGTACTCAGTGCACACAGTGAAGCTTGGAGGGGAGAACCAACGGAGCCCAAAGACGATGCTGCCAGAAAAACTGAACAGCTCCCCACACACAGCCAGAAAAAGGAAAATATCACTAATGAATGAGGAACAGAAGGCAATAGATTACATGTGCCTGCTGCGACAAAACAACCCAAACAGCATTTCAAAGACAGAATTTTTAATGAAAAGAAAATGACCATCCTAGATTAAAAAAAAAAAAAACAAACAAACCCTGAGGACCCCAAATCATTATTAAAAGAAAAATTAGTCAATAAATTTGAAAGAAGGAGCAGCATCATCACTGCTGAAATTAATTTAGTGTCAGAGAGAAAGCTTGAGATAAAACAGTAACTGATCAATGTGATGCAAAGGAAGTCAATCAGAGTAACTGACATTTCTGAAGGAGAGAATCCAAAAAATGAGACTGAAGATATAGTTAAAGACAAAATATGAAAAAAAAAAAATCTCCAGGAAGATGAAACCTGCAACTCAAAAGTATACATTGCTCCAGGAAAATTAGATGCAGGATGTCTAATCTTCTGTGACATATTGAAGTTACATTATTAAAGTTCAAGAATTTAAAAACATCTTCAAGCTGTATGTGGTGCATGCCTGGAATCCCAGCAGCTTGGGAGGCTGAGGCAGGAGGATTTGTGAGTTCAAAGCCAGCCTCAGAAACTTAGCAAGGCCCTAAGCAACCCAGCAAGACCCTGTCTCTAAATAAAATATTTTTAAAAGGACTGGGGATGTGGCTCCATGGTTGAGCACCCCTAAGTTCCATACCCAGCACCACAAGACAAACAAACARATAAGTAAACTTTAGTCAGAAGAGGAAAAATCACTTCCAAGGGGTAAAAATCAGGCTGGCCTCTAAGATGTTGCTCAGATACCAAGACCACAGGCAAGACTCATCCCTAGATGCGGGGAGGAGGACAGGGGACAGGAGTTTTGTGAGCCTTGGGATTTAAATCTCAGTCAGTTCCGGAGCGGGCAACAGATTCCTGCCCACAGGGAGCCTCTGTTCCAGTAGGGGAAACAGCCCTTGTTTTCTGGGAATAAACGCCCCCTTCCTGAGGGGTTTTTAGTTGTCCCATTTTCTTCACATCTCTATCCCAACTGCCACTAAACTCCACCATTCTAGAGTCTAGTTCTGTTTCAGCTTTGCTCCTGCACCAGTACTTTTCCCCCTTAGTCCCTTGTCCCTCCTTACACTCAGTGGGTCCCCATGCCTCCTAACTCTCCCACAGGCCTGACTTTCATGCCAACACCCTGCCTCCCAGCCAAACCGTGAAGTCACCCATGACTCCTTTTCCTCTTGGTCTCCCACCCTCTGACCCTAGTAAACGAGATCAATTTTCCATTCAAAATATTGCTTACAGCCTGCCTTTCCTTCTAGGCTTTCTGCCCCCTCCCCAAACTGGACTTTGATGCATAAGAGCCTCTGAACTGATCTCCCTATAACTGATTTGCCCCTGTTCTCATCCATCCTTCACATCGACCTTCTTAAAATACTCTCTTTTAACTCTGGCCTGAAAAGCTTCAAATTCCCCTCTCCCACTGGCAGATGAAAGCCAAACTCCCTGCTCTGACGTTGTGAGTCCCCCAACTCCCATCACCAACTCTTCTCCACACTCTGCCTGAGGACTCTCTGCTTGCCATATTGGACTATTCACAGGTAGCTGCACACCCGTGACTTCAATGCTCTTATTCTTTTTGCTCATCTAAATCCACCATTTTTCCAGGTCCAGGACCAGCTGCACCTCACCTGTGAAACTTCCCTCTTCCCCATTTATAATTGCATCAGCCTCTTTTCTATTCTTATGCTACTGAGAACCAACCTATACTTGCCAACTGGCTATGTTAACATCAGTTATACAACATCTCAGCTATCTGTTCCCACGTTTGCTCTGCTATTGCCCCTTGGGGGAAACAGCTATGTGTCATCATCCTGTGGCCCTTCAGTGTCCACATAGGAGCTCTGTAAGCACCTGCGGCTGCCCATTTGTCTGAGACCCATGATGAAGTTCTCAGTCTTCCAGTAGTCTCCCAAGGAGCCTGACCTCATTCCCTCATGAAGTCACAGGGATACGGGTCTCACCAAAGCTGAGACCAATCACCTTGTTCTGTTGATCCTCCAGAAACATGTCACCAGCTCCCAGGAGTGGGGAGGGTGTGGTCATTTTGAGAGAAGTATGTGCTCCCTAAGAATATTCATCTTGGTTCTCTAATCTCCCAGAACAGAGAATTAGACAAACAAATTAGTGCCTGTCTTTTCATCTCTGAAATATAACTAAGCATCATTCATTCCCTGGCTTGGAAAATCACACCAGATTTCCAAGAGCAGGGAAAGTAATGTTGCCACTTAGCAGAGTCACCAACACACATGTTCCTGTAGCAATTAGTGTGTAACTCAAAGCAATTACACATGACCTCCAAGCCCTTAGTAATTACCCTATGAACTTACCAATCATTCATAGCAATTAGCTGGGAGCTAATTTGCACTCTAAAGTTCCCATTGGGAAGGCAGAGTTCACCCCAGTCCCCAATTCCTGCCAGGGATGCTATCTCCCAGGTAATTACCCTGATGGGGCTTTGCTGTCTAATTACAAGTGATGGCTTTTTTTGCTTCTTTAGACCTGCGGAATGAGGTGAATTTATCCCATCTCTGTGCCAGAGTATACGACTGCATCATTTGATCATCAAATATGATAGAAATTAGTTAAGAAATTCTGGTTTTCTATTCCAACTAGCATGGTAGACTTGTTATATGTACATAGTGAGAAAATGATAGCTTAATTCCTGTTTTCTGGTTATAGTATTCTGGCACTATAGTGACTCTTGGAGCCCTTCAATAGGTATAACGTCATTTTACTTCATGATAATCTAATGTGGTCAATGGAGGATGGACATCCTCATCCCTCTTACAAAGGAAAAAGGGAGACTAGGATGTTCAGCAACATGCAGAGAAGAGCAAAGCTAGCCAGGCTTCCCGTCCAACTTGAGAAAACATGCAGCCTCCAGGCCCAGGAGGACGCAGCCAGGGACAGGGCCAGGACAGCACTCACAGCACCACAAGACTGGTGAGGTTCTGGAAGGCATAGTCAGGGATGTGGCTGATGCGGTTGAGGGCCAGGGTCATGGCCTGCAGGGCAGGAAGATTGTTGAGGGCTCTGACGGGGATCTCTGTGAGTGCATTGTCATCCAGCCAGAGGTGGCGGAGGGAGGACAGCCCCTCAAAGCTCCTTTCTGGGACCAGAGAGATGAGGTTGGCATCCAGGCGCCTGGTGGGAGAGAGGAGGAAGAGGGTCAATGAAGGGAAGGCTGCAGATCAATCTCTGGTTCAATAATGGCCTCCAAACCATCCTGGGACTAAAGTTGAAACTTGGCTACTATTAACCCTGTATCCCACTTCTTTAAGTTCCCCTGTTTGGTCTCTATGTCAAACCACTTCTTGTTCCTTTTATGCCAGACATTTCTATCTATGATCCTAATTCTTCCTCTCAGACCCAAGGTTGAACCCACAGCCTATTTGTGGAAAACCAGTATTTCCCCCACCACCCCTCCCCCAGGCTTCCAAATCTATGCCATGTCTCTCCTGAGGGTGACATTGTTTTTTTTCAACCTTGTCGACTTTAAGGCCATATAATAGAGATGTCCCCACCATTGACAGTGGGAAATCTCCCTCTGTACCCAACCAAAGAAAAATGCTTCCCCAAAGACACAAGCCATTCTCTATCACCCACCCCTAGCACCAACTGTTCCTTGTCCCCTCAAGTACCCAGGAGTTCTGGGGGGCTTCTGCCAAAGTCCTGGAGTTTCTTGCTGGATTGATTGAAAAGCTTGGTTTGCTGATTCCCCCAGACAGATGGGAGGTGGTCTTGCCTGTGCACAACCAGAGATTCCAGGCTGACTCAAGGATTTCTGATGTGGTCTGTAGATCCTGGTAGCTCAGCAAACAAGGAGACTGCCTGTCTTCGCTTTTTACATGTGTGCCTAAGTTATGATACATTTTATCAGTGTGTTACTGTCTCTGCCTTCCAGTCTGGGACTTAGGCTATCACCCCATGTAGCTGGTCTCATGGGACCCAGATAAGCTGAGCCATGACCCATGGATCTACTCCTGGACTTTATTATCTTGAAGGGGTCTTGGGCCTGAACCATGGCTGTCCCACACAGGCACACAGGATGAAGGGTAGAGGAGGTGACTTTCTATCATCCCAACAGTACAGATCAATTTGTAGAAGGTGCAGCTTCTTTCTCTTCCCTAAGTCATTTTAGCAGTATCCTCCCTTTCAAGTCTCTTGAACCCCTGGGAGAAACCTCCCCACCCCCCACCCAAGATCTCCAGCAAGAGAGCTCTGGGTGGACAGACTGACATGCAGCCTTGGCAGTAAGTGCAAACTGACCAGGGAATCCCTTGAAAGCTGCAATTAGAGAAGACCCTCCACCCACATCAATCCTGACCTGATGGGACCAAAAACGCCTCAGGGAGCACCCTCTATTGGCAGGGTCTGTCACACCAGACAGGGTCCTCTGGTGGTCATCATTCATCCATCATGGTCTAACTGATTAGATCACCTGGGGATCATTGTGAAAATACTGACTCCCAAGCCCTCCCTGGGAGAGTTCAGAAGGACTGGGGTGGGGCCTGGGAATATGTCCCTAAAGAACGCCCCAGGTGTTTCTAGGCACAGAAAGGCGTGGGGACCACCTCCTCTCAAGAGAGGCTACCATGGGAGTTTCTAGGGGACTTGGACAGAAAACCCTAATAATTCTGTCCCAGAAGCAGTGTTTGAGAAAGGGCAGCTGCTAAGAAGAAAGCATCTGAGTCCTTCCTCCTGGAGCCCTACAGTCCAGTGGGAGCCAGACCAAGAGTCACAATGAGGCACTATGGTACCTGCCCCGTGGTGTCAGGGACTGCCTCCAGGAGAAAGCAGTGTTTACATCGAGAACTGATGGCCAAGTAGGATCAGTCAGGGAGAGGGGGGGGGAGAACTCTAAGCAGAGGCAACAGTATGTGGGAAACAGGGAGTGTAGCCTTGTAGGGGACCTGAAAGTACACAGGTAGGGCTTCCAGAAGGAGGAATGAGGGAAAGAATGAGAGAAGTGTACAGAGAAGTTTGAAGGGTCTCATAAGCAATGCCATGTTATAGAAAATAGGAAGCTCCTGGAGAGTTTTGAGCTAAGGAAGGACATGGCTAGATTTTTGCTTTAGAAAGATCCCCTAAGAGACCATGTAGGTATTGGCTAAGGGTAATATTGGAGGCAGAAGATCAGCAAAGAGAGAGTTGCTTTCCACAATGATTATGTCCAGAAAGGGGCAGCCATATCCATCTCATTTGTTCTAGAAACTCAGGAAATGAACCTGACTGATGCAGTAGTGTCCAGTCCCCAAAAGTACCCTGTTCTAATGGTAATCCCTGTTGCTCTTGATCTGGATAGCACAGTGCCTGGAGGGCACAGTTAAGTTATGCAGAGGCTCTGGGGGTCTCTTTAGCATCTCATAAAGTACTCCGCTTCTTTGTTTCCTTCCTGCACACAAGTAACCTCTCATCCCAGCCTCACCCTCAGTGTGCTTGAATTCCTACCAGTCAGAAACTACAGATGGCATATCAGTGTCATCTTACTCCTATCTCCTGCCTATTTAGAAAACCAAGCCTGGAGAATGACAACCACCCACACAGGAAACCGAGACACTGCCTGGCCATCATGATAACTGCATCACCATGCAGCTCAGCCAGCCATAGACGTGGTATTCTTTGAAAGAGCTCCATTCCCCTTAATGTTAACATCAGCAGATACTTAGAAGGCAGATCTACCCTGCCTGGACCTTGACCATCATGGAACAGAGTCTCCACCACACGGCCCTGCTTGAATTTCAGTTCCTTGTGTAGTTACAGTCCCCACCGACTGAGTGTGTGCATTTATGTTCTAAGAAGGTTTTAAGGATCAAGTCACTTATTTTATTTTCATAATTTGCAAGCTTCGCACTCTGCAAGTGAGAAACAATTAGGTATATAAAGGTTAAGTAACTTGCCCAAGGTCAAATATCTGATACATAGTAGAGATGGGATTCAAACCCAGACAATCCAGCTCCAAAGTACACATCCCTAACCATTATGCCATCATTGGCACCCTCTACAAAATTATTGCTTATGTGCCTCACTGATTGCTACACCAACCTGGAATCCTCCCAGAATACCTCACCCCCACTCCATCAACAGTCTCTGGCATTTACATACCTGCCTGACCACCCCTTTGAGGAGGCCTAGGGTTATGTAACCCAATTTGGTCATGCTGGCCCCATCATCCCACTCCCACTAGGGCAACAGTGGACATATCCAATTCTTCTCTAGGCCTTTGCTTCACAGTATGTGACACAGGGATGATCCACTTAGTCATCTGTGAGCTTGTTAGAAATGCAGACTCTTAGGCTCCACTCCAGACTTACTAAATCAGAGCCTGAATTTTAATCTAATTTTCAGGTGATTCATTTATTCATAAGTGCATTCATGTTTTAGGGCCTTTTTAAAAATTAAATTATTGAGTAGTGTTAGTATTAAGTGTGATATCTATTGCAATGTTACTGATGCAAATAAGCAATATATTCCTTAGGTAGAAGTTAATTAAATAAATGTACACAGTCTCATAATTGAACCCTAAACAGAAATTAAAAAGAATGGCATGAGACCATCCATCCGATCACTGCAAGAGCTCTTATCCCTCCCCCTTTCACCTGTCACCAGCAGATGTCCACACCATCCTCCGGCCCCTGGGGAGGCCTTCTTAGTGGGGTCACCATCTTAGACCCCTAAGTCCCAAGTCCTGCTTAGGACCACCACAAAGAAAATTTTGAGATGACTTTCTTAAAGAAAGGTAGGGTTTCGACCAGGAGAAGGAAGAAGCAGGATATCATGAGTGAGGGCCTCAAGGCAGGAAAATGCAGGGGAAGTGGGCCCAGATTCCAGACCAATCCTTACTGGGTAAAGTGGAGAAGGCCCAGCAGCCTACTGCATGCAGGAGCCAGGGGGCTGAACTGGGGCCTGGCTGTCAGGCAGGACTAGGCCTTGCCCTCTACAACTCCCTGCCTAAAGGGTAACTAGAACTTGACTCCCCAAGGAGTGTAATCACATTCCTTCTTCCCTGAAGCCCTGGGCTGGGTGCAGCTCTACAGTGTCAACCAAATAATTATTGTTGTTTCTATTTGTTGAGCCTTTCTCATAGGCCAAGTACAGCACCAGATACAAGCATGAAACTCTCAACCTCATCCTGAGGTAGTTCTGATTAGCCCCATTTTACCGAGACATTAAGCTGCCCAAGGTCACACAGCTAGTGAGCCTCGGAGCTAGAATTTGAACTCAGGCTCTCTGGAACCCCAATCCATGGGCCTCCCCACTGTCTGATACCAGTACTGAGGTGCACGGAGTGGGCAGAAGTGAGAACTTTGCTCACCTGTTTGAGAAGGTCCAGGAAATCAGCCCAGAGGCTGAGCTGGCAGATAGCCCTAGAGAGGCTCATGGGAAAGTGCTATGAGACAGACAGGAAGTTGTTWCCTCCACTCGACTGCACATGTGTGAGCACATGTGTGCCTGCACACACACACTGATGCTCACACATGTAACCTAGGGTTCTGATCAGTCCCTCTTCTGCATTTGGGCAACCTATAGGCTGGAGAGCTTAGGGAGGGCCTCTTCTACCAGCCTGGGTCAAGCATGGCCCCTGCTCAGGGTGGGCTTCTGTGTCTCCTCTTAGGGAAGGTGAGGCTGCAGGACCTCCAGGTCTCCTTCTGCTCTAGCAGAGAGAGCCCTGGCTCCCCCATCTCCTGCAGTGGTGAGGTGGAGGAGCGGGCTGGGGAGGGGAGGGACCTGCAGCCCTGTTGCTGCTTGTGGGGGTGAGAGGGAGTCCAGGTCTTTCACTCAGGCCAGGTGGACTTGGGAGTGACCCAAGAGCTGAGGAGATATTACCAGAGATAGGGAATAAAAACACATGCTATCCATTTAAATTTGAGTTTCAGATAAATAACAAGTAACTTTTAGCATAAATTATGTCCCTTGCAACATTTGGGACGATGCCCGGTGAAATCTGAATTTCAGATAAATGAGGAAACCTTTTTAGTATAAGTAGTTCCCATACAAGATTTGTCTGTTTGTTTGTTTATTACTAGGGTTTTAACCCAGGGGCACTCTACCACTGAGCTATATCCACGGCCTTTTTTGTTTTACTAGCTTATTTTTATTTTGAGAAAGGGTCTCACTATGTGCTCA